TAGCAAAGCACTAAAACAGTTACGTGGCTACATTATTTCTTTTATTTGGCGGAAAAAAAGACCAAGACTGAGATATAGCTTCTTAACATTACCGAGCAGATGTGGAGGTCTAGCGGCCCCGGACATTAAACTATATTAGCTTTCTGCCCATCTTCGTTTTATACTGGAATGGCACTTAAACTATCCAAACTCAACTTGGATAAGCGCAGAAGCCATAACTCTTGGGCCAATTCCTCTACGCAACTTACTATTATCTTTCACCCAAAAAGCAGCGAATTCTAACTAAAGAATTTTATTCTTAAGAATATGATTAAAATATGGAGATTAGTCCGCAGAACAGAAGGGCTCAACTCCCACCTTTCATTTCTCACACCCTTACATAACAACCCAGATTTCCCCCCGGGTATGAATGACGGCCTAAAACATTTGAGAGACAAAGGAATACTTGTCATAGAAGACCTGATGGAGAATAAACAGCTAATAACCTTTGAACAATTCACTGCAAAATATGATCTTAATAAGAAGTTCTTCTTGATATACCATCAGATACGCAGCTTCATAACAAAAAATCTCAGGGTCTATTCAAGTGGCCTCTGTATATCTCCAGTGGAGGAACAATTAAATAAACTTACTTCATCTCGATCTGCATCCAAAATCTTCTATAGTATTTTGATAAGAGCAAATACAGATAGCTCAGATAAAACTAGGGTGTTATGGGAAAAGGACTTTGGGGAAGAAATTCATCTGGACGGGCGTCCTAAAGGAACTTGAGAGAATTTTTTGCTGCTCATTACAAATAGGACCAATGACCAATGAGCCAGGAACTCCCGTCCAGATTCCAAGGGACCCACCTTCTTCAAATCTTACTCCACTGTGCCCGCAAGTGCATACTTGTATGCTGGATAACAGACCAAGTTCCATCAATAGCACAGTGGATTAACACAATCAAAGGTCTTATTCCATATGAAGCTTTTTCAACAGCATTAAAAGACAAACCTTTTCAATTCTATAAAGTATGGGACCCCTTCTTTACCTATCTTGGGGCTGGAGAGAGACATTTACTAGCGCTGGGAATACGGAACCTGGCGTGGAAGGACTGATTAACAACCCAGCGGTGATGTAATTATTATTATTATTTTTTTTCTTCTTTCTTTCTCTTCTTGTAATAATGTATTTGGTAATACTGTATTTTAATGTTTATTTTGCAGATAATTCAAATGAATGGCCACCTGGGCAATTTATATTAGCTCGGATGTGTCAACTATGTTTAAACCCTGTTAATGTCAAAAAGCTTCAATAAAAAAAAAAAAATTAATAATAAAAATAAAAACATTTAAAATCTCAAAAAAAAAAAAAAAAAAAGTTTGGACACTTTCCCATTCGTGTGTTTAAAAATTTGACTGGTACTATATATAGAATACAGTATATACATAAACAGAATATATACATAAACACATTTTTTGCAATGATCACTCAAATGTGGTGATCAAACACATATAATTGAGACAGAGATATGTAAGGGCATTTAACAATTTAACAAACTTTACTATCCAAAATGAGTCTGACATCAGTGCACTGAACAGTAAAGTTGAAGTTTATTCAACTTTAATTCAATTCAATTCCATTCAACTTTATTCCGTTGAAGTTTATTTTACTTCGGAACATTCATTCACGGATTTGCACTACTGTCTTCACACACAGACGAAACTTACTTGTGAAGTGTGACATAATATAGGGGAGTGCAATGCACAAAGTAACGGGGGTTTAGTTGTAACACGTGGTTTGAATATTTATTTTACCATAGTAAAATAAAAATTCTGGCTTAAGTAAAAATTTTTTAATCTCCGTTTTTATTATTCATTTAAAATGAGACAAATCTGCTATTATTTTAATCTCCAATCTGTTATTTATC